ATCAATTTTTACTTGTCAAACATATTTACATAAAATGGTATAACTCACAGAACTCTAAATTTAGAGACTCTCTTACATAATTTGCCAATTTGCTTTGGGAAATTGTATTTCCTGAATGCACCCAGTTTTGTACTGGGATTTTTGCCATGGAAATCCCATGAAAACTGGGATTTCTTTTTCTTTCTTTTTTTTTTTAAACTGGGATTTTCATGATGTGCACTTACTGCCACCTGGAGAGTGAGCCACTGCTAATTAAAGTGCCAGGACATGTGGTGTGACAAGGTGCTAGACCTTGGATATGTTATGGTTAATTTCTAGAGGTCCACTAACTTTTTAAAGAGTCATTATTATTATAATGAAATTTGGTGACAAAAAGAGTCACTTAATAGTTCACCCCACAACATCTTTTCTAGTTGAATAGATTTATCTGAACCTGGTATTTGTTTTACGGCATTAGCCTTACCTCTAAAGTAAAGTGCATCGCCAGTAAATTTCATTTCCACAAAGTTGATGCAATTGTATTCTACTGGTTCAGCAGCCATCTTTATTCCTAAGGAAAGCAAAGAGCCATCTGTTAAAAGATAACGATTGTCCCTTTTACTACTACTTTACATTACCTTCAAGTTCAGAGGTCAGTTAACCTCCTAGTATACCGATGAACAATCTGGACATTTAATAAATGCCAGAAGTTTCAGCTTATGAATACCATGTCTAAATGTTCTCTTACAAATCATCAGATATTCGGAATATAGAAAGATTTTCTCATTAAACAACATTATAAAGGGCAGATAGGCCAGGCGCGGTGGCTCACGCCAGTAATCCCAGCACTTCGAAAGGTCGAAGTGGGCAGATCACCTGAGATTGGGAGTTCGAGACTAGCCTGACCAACATGGAAAAACCCTATCTCTAAAAATACAAAATTAGCTGGGTGTGGTGGCGAATGCCTGTAATCCTAGCTACTTGGGAGACTGAGGCAGGAGAATCGCTTGAACCCAGGAGGTGGAGGTTGCAGTGAGCCAAGATGGTGACATTGCACTCCAGCCTGGGCAACAAGAGCAAAACTCCATCTCGGGAAAAAAAAAAAAAAAAAGGCAGATAAGTGGCCCACTACTGAACTGAATCATTATTCTAATATTCCTTGAGAAATAGAAATATATTATCAATATAAATGTAATTTCATTTGGGGATGCCAGAAACACATCTAATCCTGCCCTTTAAGAAGAACTGACTTCATCCTTTTCTTATAATCAGTGGATTCCTGTGGGTGAGAGGCTGAAGACTTATGACTTCATTGTCAAAGTGCTAAAGATGAAGCAATAATAAAAAATGCTTCCACCTGAGAGTAGAGGCAGGGTAGGAGGCTGAAGGGCCCTGAAGGGCATTTGGTGGTCCTCTTTCTCCATGAGTAGCAGTGGTTTTTGATCTGGAGTCTAGATTATACTATTTTTTTTTTTTTTT